GGCTGAGATGTGAGGGTTGTGGTTCAAAGCCAGCCCAGGCAGGAAAGTCCATGAGACACTTATCTCCAATTAACTACCAGAAAACCAGAAATGGTGCTGTGGCTCAAGTGGTACAGCATTGGCCTTGAGCTGAAGAGCTCAGGGACAGTACCCAGGCCCAGAGATCAAGCCTCACTACTGACATAAAAAGAAAAAAACAAGAAAAATTAAGAGAGAGAGAGAAGCAAGGAAGAGAGGGAGGGATATAGGGAGGGGAGAAGGAATTATTCAAATGAGCCAGTTCTAAACTGCTCACCGGGCTCTGCCTTGCCTTTCCAAAGTCACTTTCTGGGTGGGGGTGGGGAGCATTCTCAAGGCTAAAACATGTAGTTTGGTATCATTTTTAAAATAAGCATAAATGTGCCATTCTATTGCTACTATAATCCTAGAAAGCCTGCATGAAAATATTAAATGTGAAAGAGGCATGATATATGCAAACTACTGTCAAATAAACCATAGGAAATGTTTACATGTATATATTCATACATATATGTATGTATGTATGCATACATCTGTATATATATACATGTGTGTATATATACACATACAGAGATAAAGATACAGAAGGAGAGGGAATGAGGGACGGAGGGAGGGAGGTAAATCCACAAAGAGAAGAGTTGAGCAAAAATAAATGTGGCAAAATGTTGAGCACTGATATATCTGGGTAGAAAACTCAGGGAGTTCTCTACACTACTTATAACTTTTGTGTAAATCTAAAATTACTTCAAATTATTTCATTTTTTTTATTTACTTCTTCACTTGACTCCTTTATTTTATGGGGATGGAACCTTGCTGTGTAGTCCAGACTAGCCTCAAAATCATGATCCTTCCTAATTTAGCCTCCTTAGTGTTGGGATTACAAGTCTGTTACCAGCATGCTCAGCCTGGTGACATTTTTAAAAGCGGTAATAAACCCAGTATTTAAATAACAGATATAACCCTAGCTATATGAAACAGAAGTGTATAGTTACTCTCATGGGAAGGGAAAAATCCATGAAGGAACATTATAAAGTTATTACTCACCAACTGTTTCAGAATAGCATATGTTTGCTGCTATAAGTACAAACTAATCTATCTGAATAATCTGTTAATAATAGGTTATGAAACTACATAAAGCCTCTAACATCCTAAGGGGTAAACTCCTCAAGTGAGATTTCAGCACCAAAGGTAATTTGGAAGGAAAGCACACAAGTAAACCCATATGGCATTAAATCCTGGCTTCCTTCAAAGTTGGCCTCAGCTGACTAAGGAGAGCCAGAACATGGAGGAGTCAGCACGGAAGGTGATGTGTGCCAGGTACTTCCCAGCATCTAGGAAGTGCAAATTCAGCAGGTAATATAAAACTCACTAACTGGACCTTAAATGTTAGTGTATAAATCACAATATACCTTGTTCCTTGAGAGTCTGTATGAAGCTTCTAAGAACGTCGAAATAACAGTTACAATCAACAATGAGGAGGGTGTATTATGTAGTCTACTGTATGTTTAAATATTTAAAAATAGAAAGAGGCTGAAAAAGGAAAAGAGCCTCTTTGTTTACATTTTTGACAGAACTTTTAATTTTAAACTCAGCAGGAAACAAGGTAATGGCTGCAGAGAGTTAGGTGGGAGTCTAAGAGGTTTATTACAAACCAGTTTCTGTAGTCTCATACATAGGTAGCTGAGTGTCAAGACAATTTCAAATCAATGAATATATTGTTCATGAACAAACACCTCAAATGCAGAATAAATTCTATTCTCTCTCATATTCCCTAATTTTTTTTAAATCTATGCTGCATAAATATATCAGAAGTCCGAGTTACAGAGATAGTATAGTACAGTGATGTTTTCAAGTATTTTCCCCCTGGCTGTGCAAAACCGCAAATGGGAAATGGTAGACTACATAAAAAATACAAAGCAATTGCAATAATAATAAGATAATGGTACTTAAAATTATTCCTTTCACTTGCTTTATAAAATTTTAAATCTCAATTTTAAATGCAGGAAGCATACACCTTCTATCAGAACCAGTGACCCTGCTGCAGGCATTCTCACTCAAAAAAAAATCTAAAACTTTGGTGTGAGGTCATTAAACTATTCCTAGGGCACCCTTTTACTCTAAAAGCCTCTGTAAGCCATTGAAGTTCTAATTTGAATAATTGCATTCCACCTACATAAATTCCCTCTGTAGTTTCAACTGTATGCAATATCAGTCTTCATTTCCTGAATTAAATTAATGCCATGTAATATGGTGCTTCTATTTTTTTTTAAAAAAGTGCATCTACTTTCGTAGGTAACCTTTCAACAACCAGTAGAAATGATTCATGTGCACCAGAGGGGAATAGGTCAATATGAATAATCATTAACCAGCAATTTGTGCCAGTATTCATTGTGTGCCGAGCATTGCAAAGGGGAGAGCTCATCCAGTAAAATGGCTGCACCTATACAGCTTTATGCAAAAATAAAACGTTTCATAGACTGAATACTATTTTCCGTTGAATTAATCATTGTATCATTAAAACTTTTAGCTTCATGTATGACTTAGCTTCAACTCCCTGAGACTCCCAATGTTTGATCATCCCATTCTTCTACTTAGATACTTAATGATTTGTAAATTAGTACAGGAAAACATAATAACTTAAGCAAAGAACTGCTGTGTGTGTGTGTGTGTGTGTGTGTGTGTGTGTGTGTGTGTGTGTGTGTGTGTGTGTGTGTGTGTGTGTGTGTACTAATTGAAGAGCCTTTGGAACCTGGCTCAACTGGGAAAATTTAAAGACAAGAATTTACTCCAATATTCAAAAATTCAACACAACCTATTGTCTACACTTGTGCAGTTCATCAAAGCTATACATCACCATGATGTTTTCAAATACACTAAAATGTTACTACTCTTCAAATTTTATTTCATCATTCTGCTTTTAAATAATTTCACATATAACATATTACCTACTAAAATCATAAATGAAATAATCTGTTGTACTTGCAGTTGGTGTCAAATTCAGAAAACATAGACCTAACATAATAAATGTACACTTTCCTTTCTTTTCAGAATATCCATTCCATGAATAAAAGTACGCTTTTGTTTGGGAAATATCACCAGTACTTCACCCCCAATTCTCACAGAACAGTGCAGTTAAAATGGATGCCCTCACTTTCTCACTGATCAATCAACCTAGAACAGAGGTAGGGCCTGTACCTGTTGAAAGTTAGACCAATCATAGTACCTAAGCCTGATAGCCAAAGTTGATCTGTTTATTGGTAAAGATAAGAAAATATGATCAAAGTTGAAACCATCACAGTCTTCCAAAGTAGGAAAAAAAACTAATAGGGACAAGAAATGTAAGTGCTCACACCTTTAATTCATAACGTTACCCACCAAAAGTCTCTCTCCTCCTTTGTCAACAATGTGTGGAAAGTGGATTCCCTTTAGTTGCTAATTACTAGAGGAGAAAATCCCAAGAGGGGAATGACATCATTATGTCTCTAGGGGCCAAATGATTGTTTCTGTATTCTGCTGATCTGATCTTATATGGGAAAATTTCCTGAAACAAGGAGGAATCAATTTCTTTAAAATACCATTTTGTTACCATAAATAACAACAACAACAACAAAAAGAAATATGAGACCTCAGACTAATCCAACTAACTAATAAAATGTCTCTTCTTTTCTCTGTCAGTGATTAGCTCAAATTTGCCCTTGTCACTTCTCTTGGATTTTTCAAACTGAAATCATAAAGCAAAAGAAGTGATCTCTCTCAGGTTATGATGAAACTGTGCGTCTTAAGGCATGGAAGTTGTCAGCATCCATGTGCCCTACCATGCACAGAAAGCTGATCTGAAAGATCTTAGCCAAGATGCAGACTCAAGCACAACTTAGAAACAGAGAGAAGAGTGTACATTCTGGCAGTAGTTAAGTCATGGTTCCAGATGTCTCTGATAACTGCCATAGCCTGCCCTCCTTGGGGAACATAGTAAGCGTTTCAATAAACCCCTTTTTATACCCAAGTAAATTATTTTCCTGTAATCAGTATCCAAGGGAATTCTACATAATATATCAGACAAATATCAGAGAAATAAATTTTACTTCTTAGAAATAAGGCGTCTAGGAATAATGCAAAAAATCTAATGCAGGGCTGGGATGTAACTCAGTGGCAAAGCACTTGCCTAGCAAGTGCAATGTCCTGGGTTTGGTCCCTAGTACCAAAAAAGAAAAAGAACAAAAAAAATACGGTTAAAAAAACAAACAAACCACCAAAAAACCCTTTGAAAAAACAAAGGAGGAGGCAACAATGCTTGATAAGAAATGTACTCATTACCTTGCTCATGTTCTCCATACAGTATTTTCACAATAAAAAACTTATTTTAAAAAAATCTAAGCATGTGCAGATTCAAAGCAGAAAAAAAAAAAGCTTGGCATCCCTGACTCCATTTGACATCTGTCTCTTTTACTAAGAATCTCTCTCCCTTCAATCACTTTGGTTCCCAGAAAGGACAGGACAAATCGATAACATCTGATCCTAAAAGGATTTCTTTACAGAAGATGGTATCATTTAGAAAATTTACTTAGTCCTCTACAATTCTTAAGGAAAAAAAATCAAACTACAAACTCAGAAAACTATTTGATAGTTATTGCTATTCATCTCTCTTCCAATTATAATAGCACAATATTTAAGGCCTTATAAAGAAATGTAGGATTGGGCATAATGGAGCATGCCTGTTAATCCTAGCACTCAGGAGTTACAAGCAGGAATATACAATGCTTGCAGTCAGCCTGGTAATAGCAATGTGAAGTCCGGTATCAGTTACATTGTAAAACTTTGTCGGAAGAGAGGGTAGAAGGGAATGAATTTAGTAAAGTGAAATTTTAGTTTAAAGCCTTTTAAAACCTCTCCATTCCCAGCATACAAATAATGAGCACTCATTTCAAGTGCTTGAGAAGCAATACAGCATGTGCTTTAAAGAAAAAGATGAAATTCATTTTCACCTGCATAGATGCTCCTTCCACTCTTGCCACACAGGCAACCCGATCCAAGAAAGTCACTGCCACCGGCACTGCCACAAAGAAGCCTTTATAAAAGGCCTTGAAGTATCTCTTCACCCAGCCGTGTGCCTGTGCCATACCTAGATACACAAAGACAAGAAGTAGAAATTAGTCTCAAGAAAGGAGAGAACTACATACAACCTAAGAAAAGTAAGAGTGGGATAGTCTGCAGCTCAGTGATAGAAGATGTGGTTAGCATACACAAGGCCCTGATTTGATCCCCAGGACCAAAATAATACATACATACATACATAACAGCAACTGATATATTTCACACTAATCCCTGTAACCATTAGAATAACATTTTGCTTATACTCCCAAAGGGAAAAAGATTAGTTCACATTAACTCTTTTTAATAGCTCAAGTCCACCAAGCAACTTCAGTAGAAAATCCATCAATTTATCAATAAGCATTCCAACAGCAAATCTTTTCCTACTGCTTACAATCATGGTAGAGCTGCAGAGCCTCATAGCTCTAAGAGAAATTTTGGTAGGGCATGTGCCTACCTGGCTGAAAACTATCCCAGCCCTTTTACAGTGTGTCCATGTGACTGGGTCTGATCAATGATATACGAGCAGAACAACATACTTTGTGCCCTCACAAACACCCCACTTCTCTATTTTATTGCTATAAAATAACAATGTGATGGTCTTATTACCTCTGCCCACCAGTCAAGTTTTCTGTTATCCATTCCCTTACTGTTCCCCCTTGCTTCCTTTTCCTGAACATTAATTCAAGAACCCCTACATGATCAGTATGTGCCCTGAGAATGTCTGGTTTATGACACGCTGTGAAGATGATGTTCTGCTGGCTTGATTATTGGCTGCTCCTCTAGTTCCATTACCACTGCATTATGGTATGTCTCCCTCCCCCACCAGCACCATGACAATACCAGAAACTGGCTAAGCAAGGTAAAGTAGAAGAGGGAAGGGAAGCAGAATTCTTGGGAGATGTAGTAGTTTCTTCCTTGAAAAGTCATACATAGTCCATTCACTTATTAATCTGCCTGATCTTCATTTCTTTCCTCTACTAAAAAAAGGGTGATTGATCTGAGAGTCTTAACTGCTATTTTCTACCATTCACAGGCCACTGAATGAAGTCTTCTCTCTTCTGGTGTGGTTACTTGGCTCTGCATCTAATGGTTAACAAATCATGATTTGGCTTGGAAAAACTGAGTAACAGTAGGAGCAGCCATCTCAAGCTTTAAGATTGAAATGTTCGTTAAAGATATTAAAGCAACAAAATAGGAGAATCCTAGTTCCACACACTATGGGTCACTTGACTATCCTGTATGGGCTGTTCTCACACTGGTACTTCTGCTATTACCTGTGAAAGCCAGAAAACTAGTTTGATGACACTTGCTTCTTTGTCTGAACCAATCACGGGTATGAAAATTTGATTTAGTCAGCTAATTTTTATAGAATTACATTTTAAAGTGGGAAAATACAAATTTGGCTCTGGCCTGATTTTACACTTCTCTCAGATTAATCATGGTGTGCCTAGGACCTTTTCAGATTTCTCACAGGTGTATCCCCAGCACTCTCAGTCTCTAGTGGGACAACCCTGCTATGATTGTGCAGACAGAAAAGAACAACACGCATCTTGTTACTTTCTTAATGGATGAGAGGGAAGGTCATGCCTAAGGTGTAACTGGTTTCTATACCTTTTTCAGGATCACTGAATAAAGGAAGCCCCTTGCATTGTCTTGACAATGTAAATACATGTACAGTCTACATCCTTCTTAGAGAGGGTGGTAGGATGTGATGGTGCTGTGACAAGAACTGCTATGTCTTCTTTCAGACTAATAGTATATTATCCAAATTGGTCCTAATTAAGACAAAAATGAAATGTATGATGGATCAGGAAAGGAAACTATTACATGAAAATTCAATACATATATCTCCAATCTGTAACCCTGTAACCATTTGACTATGCTTCAAACTTTCTAGGAATCAAGAGATACCTTTAACTATCTTTTTTGGGGGGAGGGGAGGTCAGTCGTGGGGCTTGAACTCTGGGCTTGGGTGCTGTCCCTCAGCTCTTCAGCTCAAGGCCAGCGCTCTACCCCTTAAGCCACAGCACCACTTCCAGTTTTCTAGTGGTTTATTGGAGATAAGAGTCTCACGGACTTTCCTGTCCAGGCTGGCTTTGAACCATGATCCTCAGATCTCAGCCTCCTGAGTAGCTAGGATTACAGGCATGAGCTACCAGCACCCAGCTTACCTTAACTATCTTATACAATGAAAAGTTAAACAGTGAGGGATCCAGTTGGGCCAAATGGGGCCAAACAAAGTCCTACAGGTGGATAATATTCCTGGCTAGGAAATGTATATCATCATTTTATTGGCTGTCTTACACAAGACAGGAGGGAGTGGGTAAATAGGAAGTGAGACAGAGTCTAATAGACTCTTGACTTCTCTTTATTTAAAGTGAGAGACTAGATCAGATTAGTCTAAACAGTTATATAACACTATCACCAAACTTCTTCAGCCCTAAACTCACCATTCATTTTGCTTCCAAATGATCTAAAATTTCTTGTCCTCTTGAAAGCTGGTCCAGAAAGTTTAAAAACGGCAACCATACCAAGCATCAATCAAAAATGTATAAAACAGCACAGTATTCTTGGCTTCTTTTTTAAGTGTACAGACTTAAGTGTCACACTATCAATAAGAGCAGTATTGTGCCAATATTCATATTAAAGAAATGAAAAACAAGAACTATGAAACAAAGGGAAAAGATTAAGAAATACATTCATGATGATAAAGAATGGTAGATAGAAGTGAGAAGAAAAACAATATTTAGCACTTAGTAATCACTAAAAAGCAGAAATAGGCTGACTCAAATGGTAGAGTGTTTGTTTAATATATGCAAGACAATGGATTCAAACCCTGGTATCACAAAAATGTATTAGATAAATAAATACACTCATACACTCCTAGCAGAACTATACTCAAGATTCTTTCTCAAGTATTAATTTCTAAAGATGTTACTCAGTGCGTTGTCTATTTAACCTGGAACTGCAAAACAAGGGGAGCATGTGAAGAAAGCATGTCACTATCACATGACACAAACTGTTATACAAGCTATAGAACCACTTTCAAAGAGTTTCTTATGAGAGACTACACCTCTCACTTTATTTTGATGAAATTCTTCCTTTAAAAGGCACATACAGGGCTGGGAAGGTGGCTCAGTGGTAGAGCGCTTGCCTTGCATGCACGAGGCCCTGAGTTCGATTCCTCAGTACCACATAAGCAGAAAAAGCCGGAAGTGGTGCTGTGGCTCCAGCGGTAGAGCGCTAGCCTTGAGCTGAAGAGCTGAAGGACAGCGCCCAGGCCCAGAGTTCAGGCCTCATGACTGGCCAAAAAAAAAAAAAAAAGGCACATACAAGAGAAGGCTACATGGTAGTGAAGAAGACCTTGACAGAGTGAGAAATTTGCCTGAGTTATAATCAAGAACAATGGATTTCTAACTTTTTACACTATATGACACATGAACAAAGTTATATAATATATATATATATATATATTATATATATATATAATAGCCCACTAATACACGCGCACTATAGGAAGGAAGACAGTAGTAATAGAAAGGTTCCACAAAACAACAACATTATTAAATAATAGAGGATAATTTTAGCTGCTTGTTTTCTTTTTGTATAACACTGCTACTTGCAAATCAATAAATTAATTTTTATGGCCCACTTGACTTATAGTTTTATCTAAACTGACCTATGAATATCCCAATCTCTAATTCCCTCTAAAATCTTTATATCATAGGGGGAAATATAATAATCTAAAGTAGTTAGTTTGGAGGTAATGTGTATGCATGGTAAAGAATAAAGACCAGAATACTTTTCAAAATATATTATACATATCCTAACATTTACCCAAACCTATAATCTTTTATATCAAACTGAAAAAAATGTTACTGCAGACTAACTTTAGAAAATAAGCAATTTAAAATCATGTTTTCATTCCAACTCAGCTGCCAAACTGTAATCTTAAGTAAAATTGTTTAGAAGTCCTCACATCTGGTACCCAAGAAATATTTTTGACCTAAGGTGCTATATGTTTCCACAAGCAGCTTCAACCAGGGTCCTCCTAAGACAGGACGCTTGCTTGACATGTTTCATTCATTCATACCAAACTTTCCATGGCGCCCCTAAATCAAACTAATTTCTCATCAGTGACATCTTTCACTTAGAACCAAAATACTTTTACTAACTCATTTCATACTTCTCCATAGATATTTATTTTTTCAAATGGACTGATTTACAAAGGTCCCACTTATCTTCTCCATGACTTGGCAACAAACTAATAATTCTAGCATATTTATAGGATCAGTACTTTCAGGATGCAAAAAAATATGAATTTTCCTCAACATTAGATTTCATTAGCTTAACCTCTCTGAAAATAATTCTGACTAAAAGTTCTACCAGTCAAATATCATGCTTTAAATAAGTTTCATGACTCTCACAATTTTCATTTTCAGGGTTTCCAAAAATACAAATAAATGAATAAATCCAAAGATTACAGACAGTAATATATGAATCTGCAAATTATTGTTTCATGTACATAGGAAAAATCTATACTTAGCTACTATGTACAAGAGAAAAGAAACAGCTCTAAAGTAAACATTACTTCCCCATTTACCAGTTAAATTATCAAGTTTATTTCAGTGGTCCACACTGATGTTAAAATCACAGACCACTCTCAGATAACAATTCCAGGGCAATGTTTCCTAAGCCTGTCTGAACTGACATGATTATAAATGCAGACCCTTACTCCCAGCCAGGTCTTCAAAATCTAACTTCCTAGGTGATTTGCTTAATCAAGCAAATAGAAAATGCTGCTAGTTGGGTGATTAAAGGTCAGAATCATTACTCACCCTCACAGGCTTATTACTTTCTCAAAATGGGAATGAGAGAAAGGTAGGGAAGAATTACCACCCTGAATGTCTTAGTACACCTTCAGTTTGTCCCTTTACTGGATTAACAAAGTATCTGAAGAACAAACCTGTTCAGAAAATAAACAGTACAAAATGATGGGCAGGGGACTATGTCTTTGTTCCTATGGGGAAGTTCAATCATCCACCAATTCATTCATCTCCTGTATCATTCATTCTCACAACCAGTATATATGAAGGGACTTCCAGAAGCCAGTGGTAGGCACCAGAGATCATACAATAGTGATCAAAGCCAGACTTTATCTCTGCTTTCATGAATTCTTATAATCAATGACAAAGATCAATGGAATAATCAAATACATCTAAATCAGATTATATAAAGTGCTCTGAGAGAGACAGAAAAGTCAAGGTCTCTGTAAAGGAGAGTGAACAAAAACATCAGTAAACTTAGATGAGGGTTTATGAGGTCAGGAAAGGTATTTCAGACAGTAGCAATTTCCTAAGGTCTCATGTATCAGGAATGACTATGCTATGATGGAAAAAGTGGGTAAATGGGAGCACATGGGGGCATATGAATGGGAGGAACCAATTTAAGAACCAGAGCAGCTAAGAACTCACAAATTTTGTGAGGACTGAAGTTTTGTTGTTATTGCTGCTGCTGCTGCTGCTGCTGTTATTTTTATTTTTTCCAGTCCTGGGCCTTGAACTCAGGGCCTGGGCACTATCCCTGAGCTTCTCTGGCTCAAGACTAGCACTCTACCACTTGAGCCACAGCACCACTTCCCTCTTTTTCTGTTTATGTAGTACTGAGGAATAGAACTCAGGACTCAATGCATGCTAGGCAAGCACTATACCACTAAGCCACATTCCCAGCCCGTTTGTTTTTAACAAATGGGAATGATCGTAATTATATTTCTAAATGAATGGCTGGACAGAGCAAAAATGGACATAAAATAGATTATTCTAGTAGTCCAAGATATGAAATGATAGTAGATTAGCCTAGGCAATACTGGAAATGGCTTTAAATGGACAAACCTAACATAAATATTTTGGAGGTTAAATTGATAGCATCTGGAAATTAATGGGCAATGGCAGGGAGGGGAAAGGAGGTCAGACAGGAAAATGTCAAGAGGAAGTACTTGACCTGTCAGAGCACCTGTATTTTGTCATTACCTGGAAATATATTCCAAAGCGCACACACACAAAAGAAGCTCAAAATTCAATTCCTCAAACTTTTATTTAGTCTAATACTATTAGTTAGCCTTATAGAGTACACGCAAAGCAGAAAACAAGCAGATGTGTTCTATGTCCTCAAAGAAATACCATGCATCAAGGAAGACTGCCCTGAAACATTTTCCAGAGGAGGCAAGCATTAAAAAGGGTAATGGGGGCTGGGAATGTGGCTTAGTGGTAGAGTGCTTGACTAGCATACATGAAGCCCTGGGTTCAACTCCTTAGTACCATATAAACAGAAAAGGCCAGAAGCAGTGCTGTGGCTCTAGTAGTACAACACTAGCTCAAAGACAGTGCCCAGGCCCTGAGTTCAAGCTCCAGGACCAACAAATTAATTAATTAACTAAAAATTTTTAAATAAAAAGGGTGATGGCCCTGCAGCAAAAGAGTCCAAGCACAAGTTATGTCCATCTGAAGACTGTCAAGGAAAGCCTCCAAAGAAATAGAATTTCGAGGCGAGATCTCCAAATTTAGGCAAAAAGAGCAGCATATACGAAAAACTAAGGGCAAAACACAGCATGGTTACTTAAGCCAAAACAAGTTCATTTTGCATGAAGCATATGCAAAAGTAACTATTAATTTTAACTCAGAGAGCATTTATTTATTGAGTGGCAAGCACAATTAGTAAGAGCAGAAGATATAAAGGCATACAATGCAATACCATTTAAAAACTAAGCAGTACTTCA